ACACACAGACTGTGAGTCCGTGATGTGTGGAACTGCCCCACAAGCGTTTAATTTGTGTGATTTATTCCTCAACATACTAATAATTTTGCATTCACGAAAGTAAAATCGGCTCATGTGACAAATAAGTTAAATGCTAACCATTATTAACACTATAACCATATTAATCTATATTACCCGAGTTTTGGCAAAGTAATAATTTTGAAGCTAAGTATAGACTTTTAAAAAGCACATGTCTTTTTACATGCAGAGGACTCTACATTGCTCGTGTATTCTATATCTAGCTGAACACTTGCTCATGGTGCTGATCGTATGTAAACGGGAAGGTGGCAAATGGTGTCACTAAAAAGGATGGTTTCTGCATTGACCAAAACTATCCTCCATTTACGAAAGACTTATATAACTAGAAAAGGTGTGGAATAACCCCGGGTGCGGGATTACGCCAATTTATTGTATACAGTCCATGGAAATGAGGCTGGACCTTACTGTGATGCGATTGTTTGTGTGCCTCAGCGATCCAGTGAGCTATGCTGGGTGGTGCTTTTACACCAGAGTCACTCATACCAGATTGGTCTAAGGTTAGAGGCCAGACAAACTCAGCATCCTGGTCCTCCAGGTTGGGAGTTGGAATGAGGGTGGCACCTTATTCCTTAAAACGGATTCTTTGTAACCCAACGCCAAACCCGCTACCTTGCGGTAAGGTTTTTGAACCAAAAGCTTTGGTTGAGAACCCTAATTGTTCTCCTGTCTAGGCCTGGGCAACCTGACAGTATTCTGCCCACGCAATACAATGAATCTCTTTTCAAACAAATTTCTGATGCTCTGACCACCGCAGAGGATAATCAACGGTGCCCTATCTGCTGCATAGGGCGGGGTGGATAAGGGTTTGGATGGTATTGCTCAAGCCTTCCCGTCTTCTTATTCCCCTCTTATGTTTTTGCACTCTTACCGACCCCTTCCAACTTCAATTTTATCATCCTGATTTAAACCCCTCAATTCTTGGCCCTTCCACAACATGCTTTGCTAGGCATTTATCTTCTAATTTCAACTCACATGCTAACGCGGGACGTCACTCTTCTCCTGTCGACAAGCCCATGTCCAACCAGGCTTTCCATTCCAGTTCATCGGCTTCCATTTGGAGCCCTCGATCCTCCTTCAGATTTGCATGCTTCAATGTACGCACATTACTACAGATCGGTCAACAGGCAGCACTTGCCCGAACGTTGGAGACACTCTCGATCGATATCTGCTGCTTATCAGAGACCCGCCTGCAAGACTCGAGCTCTGTACTCACTCTGCGATCCCCTTCAGGTGACGCAAACAGTACCTTCTCATTGCGCCTATCCGGTGACGATACAGCTTAGATCACCAGCCAAACTGTTGTTTGCATTGCCCTGAGTCCCCGGGCTGAAGCTGCTCTAGTTGATTGGATTCCAATCGGTAGCCGGATGTGCGAAGTCTCTCTCTCCATTATCAGAGCGGTTCTCATCGAGCGCGTGCAGACCACCAAGGTGGCGTTCGTATGGTAACAGGTGGCCAACCCGTGCATTAAAATCCCCACATAGTTGGACTGCACCTCGAAACACCGAGGAATATAACATTTATCATTTATCATTTATCATTTATCATAACGACATCCGACCATTTAGCATCAGTCAAGAGCTGATGTAGATCTCGGTAGAATTCGTCCTTGACCGAGTCGCCACTGCAGTCAGTTGGAGCGTACACAGAGATCACAAACAAGTTGCGTCTCTCTTCGCGGTGCCTGTTGATTCTACATGAACCCCGAAGCCGAACTGCACATAGTCGGCTGTTAATCGTGAACCAGTCCAGTAGTGCCGTCTCGGCCTTGCCACTTAGTGCTATACCTACAAAAGCCAAACCCGCTGAGGCTGCTTCTGGATCTGCAGAAAGACGCAGGTGATATCTGGTTTCGTGGTCAGTGGGGGATGTCAATGTAAGCACAGTGCTGGGATCTTGCAATCGGATTTCTGAAAGGCAGCAGACATCAACGTTTAGGGAATCTGGGGTGCGCGCTAGACCGGCTTGCTGTCCATTCTGCATGAGTGTCCGAACGTTGAAGCACACCAGACGGAACGAGGGCCGGGGACGAAGGAGAGCCATAGGTTGAACTCCTTGATCTGCGAAGCAACCGGAATCGCAGCCAGATTGTTGAGCACGTGAATCGGGTAACAGAAAGTGAGGATCGTTAACAAACAAACAATTGGCTTGTGATGAAGTCGCGTGAAAGTGAGTAGCGAAAATAGCAGCTGATGAGCAAGTTGTAATACGGTTCATGGTTTTGCGAGAGGGCGTGATACTACCCGGTTGCCTAAGCCGGAGTATGGAGTTGACTTAGGGGGACTCCACCCCGAGCCTTTGGCTAAATAACCCGCCCGCAAGGCAGCGGGGCGAATTTAGGGAATCGCGCTCATTGGGAGGCTTTGACTGAATGATCAGCTCATGCGCCTTTGTTTGGTAGCTTACCAAACAGGGGCCCAATACTCCCCATGAAGTCAGCACACCTGCTGGAATACAAAGTCCCACGGAGGTGGAACATTGTCGCCGATCACTTTGCTGGAACGGGGTACACCCGAACCACCCAGCTGGCACCACGAGGAGGTAGTTCGGCAAGCCAGCCGGGCAATTCA